CACAGTTGTACTTTGCAATGACGATAACAGGATTATATAATCATTTCTTAATGTTCAGGCGCTCATGTAGGAAAATGTCAGGTATGTAGATGACAGATGTATAATGATGAATTTACAAAGTGTATAAGGTACAGTTGTTCCTGAAAATGTTTTTGGCATCAGCCATTACAGTAAGTCAAACGCTGTGCTGATTGGGTGATTCACAGAAGAGAGGAAACAGTATTTCACCACTGATTTGATTTTTCTGTGTGTAGCTAGAGCCCTAGACATATGAGATCATTAACACCGACAGCCACAGAGCCTCGGAAAGTGCAGTGATATGGTACTGCTTATTCCCTGTAAATGAGCTCACAGGCTGACCTATGGCATCCTGGGTTCTAGATGTGTGACAGTTCACAGTCATTTCATGACTGCTGTTTAAAAACAAAGGTCACTGAGGATAATTAATCTAATTTCAAGCCTCAGAGGTGGGCCTTATGGACATGCTTAGCCGTGTTTTAACTGAACTACTGAGCAGGTAGATTTCCCATGGAGCATCCTTCCGGTAGTCTCAACATATGCTCTGTGTGATAGTCATCTAGAAAGATTCCCAGACCACTCTTGCCTAATCCCATGCCAAGTAATCTTGATTGATGGTTTCAGTGACTGACAACCTTTCCCGTGCATCAGAAGTACCCAGAGGCCTTCTTAGAATACAAACTTAAACTCCATTCTGTAGCCTCCTGCTAGAGAGAGGTGTGACTACCTCCCTCTCGCTCCTCTCCCTCCCTTTTCTTTTTCTTTGTGGGACCCCACCGATTTTATTTTCAACAGTTATCTGAAGGACGCCACTGTTCAGAAACTATATTGCTCTGGATTTCTCAGCTACCCAAGTCCTTAGAAAGTGACTGCTAGGGTTGAAAGTTGTGTTCATGTTGGCCCCATGATGAGGGAAGCTTGGATTTCCAGGCTTTTGGACCAGGTTATCCTATTGTAATCAGAATATACAAAGAAGTAGCTAGTCCCTTGTTTATTTTGGGAGGCCTTCCCTTATCGTTAATATCACAAAACCAAGAGGACTGACATTAATAGTCTTTGCCTCCTGACAAGAGACCTGGTTTGAAGTCCTGAGATACTGTTGCCCATGTGATCGTGAGAAAGGAGATTGCCTTAGGCAGGCAGAAGTGAAAGTTCCTCCATTCTTCTGCGGTTAAGAGGTCAAATCACTGCCCCAGGTACTCAGGGTTAATGCTAGTCACTGTTACATCAGCAGTAAGACGGTGGCAGGAATATACATCTTCACAGTCCCTACCACTGACCATGGAATTCCACAGGAAGAGCCACCCCAGTTCTCATGCTGTAAAGCAGGGCTCCCTAAACTTCTCCCGCCCATTGACCCCTGCTTACCTAAGAAATTTTATATCACCCCGGATGTAGAGGTGTGTAAACATATGTATACATATTATGTACTTACTGGAAATCTTAAACTCATACAACCCCAGCTATATACGTATGTAAACATATGTATACATATTATACACTTACTGGAAATCATAAATTCATACCCCAGGTATATAAGTGTGTAAACATATGTATACATATTACGCAGTTACTGGAAATCATAAATTCATTTTGAAACACTTACTTGGCATACATATATTTTTACCATTCATTAAGAATGAAACAAATATGACTACTATAAGTTGGGTGTGGTTGCGTGAAGAACTAAATTTTGCTGAGTATTTGATATTGCAGGACGTAAAGTATCTTCAGAGAGTTTTCAGAGTTTTCCTGTAGTTTAATTTTATAATTAGTGCTGGCAGAAATGTCTTAGAGCCTTTTCTGAAATTATTGGAAATTCTGTCTTAATCCCAAGCCTAGACCCATTAAACAAGTTTTTTTGTTTGTTTGTTTTTGTGGGTTTTTTTTTTTGTGTGTGTGTGTGTGTGTGTGTGTGTGTGTGTGTTTTGGTTTTTCGAGACAGAGTTTCTCTGTGTAGCTTTGCACCTTTCCTGGAACTTGCTCTGTAGCCCAGGCTGGACTCGAACTCACAGAGATCCGCCTGGCTCTGCCTCCCGAGTGCTGGGATTAAAGGTGTGTGCCACCACAGCCCAGCTAAACAAGTTTTTATGAAACTCGAGTCATCAGTTCAAATAGCAATTTTAAAAATCAAACTTCGCAGCAATGCCATCTACTGTTTTTTGATGCATGCTGAAGAATGACTTGGTAAAAAGTAGAAGCCTTTGTAAAATATTGAAAGTATTTGTCTTTATAGAAATAGAAAAGCAAAAGACTCACTGCGGTTTATAACATACAGAAGTTCTGAGTCTGAGCTGAGGTGTCCCAGGCAGTGACTGCCTGCATTGTGTGGTGGGAGGACCTGCAGGATGCCCAGTGCGTGGTTTTCCTTGGTGTGGTGATATTTTGTTTGTACTCTAACAAACAGAATTTGCCTGAGAATCAGAGGACAGAGCCAGCCATAGATTAGACACAGAGGCCAGGCAGTTTTGGTACACGCCTTCAATCCTGTCACTCACCTCATGTATTTGCTCCTTGTATTTGGGAGGCACACTCGCCATTAATCCCAGCACTAGGAAGGTTGAGACAGGAAATGATGTGGCTGGGTGGAGAAAGGAATATAAGGCGGGAAGAGACAGGAACTCAGGCCCTTTCGGCTGAGGACTCCGGCGTTCAGTCTGAGGATTCATGGAGACAGGATCTTCCCTTTTGGCTGAGGAGTTGGCGAGGTGAGAAGTGGCTGTGGCTTGTTTCCTTTGATCTTTCAGTATGTACCCCAATACGTGGCTCCAGGTGTTTATTGTAAGACCAATTGGGACTCGTGCCCCACTTCAGTACAAGGCTGCAGTGACGCCCCTGCAGGCGAGGGCTCATTACATAGTACATTTTTAATAAATTTTGTTCATTCAGAAACCTTTTATTATTGCCAAGTTTTTTGGACACCCACAGTTCTACAATCCCATACAAGACCACAAGCCACACTTTAAGAATCAGGCCTTTGCGTGGTAGTGGTGGTACATGTCGCTAACCTCAGTGCTGGGGGATGGAGAAAAGTAGATCATTGGGACTTACAGACTAGCCAGTCTCGAGCTCCAGGTTCAGTGAGAGATCTTGTTTCAAATAAGGTAGAGAAGCAGTTAAGTAAGATGTCCAGTGGTGATGTCAACCTTCTCCTCCTCCTCCACACAAGCCTTCGTAGGAGAATGTACCCCCCACACACACACTTCTCCTTCTCCTCTTCCTTCTCCTCCTCCTCTTTATCTGAGATCCTGTTATCAAGCCATAGAGAGAGAAGGAATTCTGTCTGTTGGCTGAGCATTTCAGGTAGCATCTCAAAGGAGACAGAGTCAGCCCTGTCCTGAGGACCTGGGTGAAAGAGTGCCTTTCATCTTCATCTCTACATAGTGATGGCGTGTGAACAGATTACTGTCTTGATCACTTGCTCCTGTACACATTTCTTTTTAATTAATTTTTTTTCATACAATATATTCTCATGAGTCACCTCCAGCTCCTGCTAGATCCTCTCCACACACCAACTCTA